GAATATAGTTAGTCCTATATTTTAGAATTTTATCTATGTTTTAAAGATTTATTATTTAGCTCTGAGGCTCCAACTTCTCAATGAAAATGTGGAGCTAGAATAGGACGGTCCGACCTTTTATACTCATCTTCATAGCTAACATGTCTAATTTTGATAACTTTATAACCGAGAAAACAATTTTACATGTAAAGTTTTGTAGCTAACATATCAAAAATATTGACACTGCTCGAACTCAAACATCTTCATAAAAATACAGAATATCATGCCATATTTTAATCCATAAATATATGCATCCTTCATAAGTAAAAATGCTTCAAGTTTCAACGTGCTAGGTAACTTTTTCGATGAGCCCATAGTATTGCTAGATTTTTAGTGAGTACTCCCTCAGTCTCAAAACTAGTATTAATTTGCTGGCTAATTTTCACAATTATATACAATGTCATTGAGATTGTTTTAAGATTTGTATTTGTTACTTTCTTTGTGTTTTATTTGAAAAGCGCTCATATACACATATTCATTTTTTTCTTCATCATTTCTTGGTTGAAGAAACAAATATCTATAATTTTTTATATAGAAAAGAGTGAAAGTAGGGGCTATTGCGGCCAAGACCATCGAAGATAGCAAAGAGACTTTTCTATGACATCAATTAAGATGATTGTCTCATATCACTATTGATGTCCACAGATGAGTTTTTTTTGCACAAGGACCAGGTGATATGACTATTGAATTAGATATCAATATCTTTTTTGGTAACTCGCACTTTAGATGTCATGGAGCAGAAGCAACACCGTTAAATACAATCGTATTTTTCTTACATTCTACGTAGTATAATAAACTAAAAAATAAAATATCTTTTACACTGGTAAAAAATAAGATTGCATGTGCCAAAATTTACTAAATACACGTTTGTTTTAATGCTATCTCAAATTTGTGTTTATCTTTTTTTTTTTGGAGTCAGATGCCATTATTTTATTACAAATTTGTGTTTATCATTCTAATTAAGGATATTTTCGATTGGAATCAATTTTGATATGATCTATGAAAGTAAAGGTTATTTTTTACTTTAGTGTTATATACTACGAGTAAATATTAACATAAATCTTGATATTTTTTTTGAGAGTTTCGGATCTCTGAAAGCTTTGTTATTTACATATATAGCAATCATATCGTGATACTAAAAGTGGTATTTAAGAGCTTATAAATAAGTTAGACTATGTTTAAAGGGTAATTCTTTTACTCATGAATGTAACTTTAATTGAGATCATTTTTCATTTCCTAGGATATGACTAAAACTCAATGAGTTTCTCAATCTATGACCTAACTAGTTTTTAGACTTTTGTATGACCGAAAATCCAAAAAAAATAATAAATTTTCGTTTATATTTAAAGGTTGAATGACGAAAATACCCTTATTTAAAATATGTGCATTTTTCACTAATTTCGTCCAATTAACATTACTGCACTTTATATTTCTGTTAATGCACGACATTAATGCACGATTTTACTGGACATCCGGTAATTATCACTGCACTTCTGCCAAAATCAACTCTCTTCTCATTCACTTGAGGAATTTATTTTTAGTTTTTGTTTGTTGTTTTTTTAGATTAAATAATTTTATTATTTTACATCTAATTAAGTATATTGCATTTCATGATGATATTACTGTTAGGGGTGGGCGCGGTCCGGTCCGGTCCAATATTTGGCCGAACCCGTACCCGTACCGTTACTATTCAAACGGTTCGGTTCGGTCTTAGACCTAAACCCTTTCGGTACGGTTTCATTTTGAAACGGGACGGTACCATGCCATACCAATACCAAACAATGCCACTTTTTCCAAGTGTTTAAGAGACAATTAATGTTTAGTCTTCCTCCAAAAATCTACACAATTTATCAATTTTCATACTCATTCCATCCCAAATTGAGATGCAAAGTCAATATTTTTTGGTCAACCAATGTTAGAGTTAAATTCTCTTCATTGATAATTTATTCAATTTGTAATAATTAAAATAAACATATTCAGAAACCACATTGAAATTTCTTCAAAGTTGCAAGCTCCAAATTAAATATAATTAAAAATTGACATTCTAGTTAAGTGAATAAAATGAATCTACTTGACAAAAAAAGTTAATTTTGCAAATAAATTTGGGACGAAGGTAGTATTACATACTCCCTCCGTCCCAGGGAGAAGTTCCCGGGTTGACTTTCACACATATTTAGGAAATAAAGTTACTGAGGGGAAAATTTTACTGTTTGGCACTGTTTCGACACTGTTTGGCACTGTTTCGACACTGTTTGGCACTGTTTTGCACTGTTTTGATGTAGGATAACTTTCCATTTAGGGAAATGAGAACTTTTTGTTGGGACTACCAAAAAAGGAAAGTGGGAACTTCTCCCTGGGATGGAGGAAGTAATTAATAAATTTCAGATAAATTATAGTAGTACAAATTTAAATGATTAAACCATACATCGGTCCGATTCCAGACTTCCTATGAACTAGCAAAGACGGTGAAAATGTAAAGGCACTAGTCAAAATAATGGTATAAATGTAAATTTAAATAATTAAATCATACTTCGGTCCGGTTCGGTCCGGTTTCGGTTCTCATTTTATGAGAACCGGTCATGACATTGTTTAGAATCGGTACGGTTCAGTTCGGGACAAAAAAAATTGAGATCCGTTTCAAACCCCATTTTTCGGTCCGGTACCATATCGGTTCGGTTCGGTATTTTTTGCCCACCCGTAATTACTGCTATGTGTTACTGCAATACTAGTCATAATCACTGTATAACAAATTTTTTTAATGCATTCATTCACTGCCTTATACAACATGTCTATTACCATTTATATTAACTCCACATACTCAACACTTATTGCATTGTTCACTGTCATTGTTCAATGCCCATATTTAAAGCCCACAAACCCTAAATTCAATAAAACCTAATCTCAAAAAATAGAGAAAGAACGAATGTCTCTGCTGGAAAACTTGAGAAGACGGTAGACATTGATAATCTCATAATTAAGTTGATCATTCCATCACCAGAGACCTGTTCTCATCATCATTAATTAAGTTGACCGTTCCATATAGAGCAAAAAAGAAACTCCCCGTTCCAATCTGCACCGTTCGTTGCTTGAACTAGATCTATGAGATTAAAAGCTCGGAGGAAAACCTGCAGTCGAGGATAAAAGTAGAAAGACATGTTGTCTGTGGAAGGAGATTCGTTGGCCACCATAATGGTGACGATTGTCCCATCCCAATCCCTAGGCGTCCGTGGAAGGAGTATCTTGTTCGATTCTGCCGGCAACCACCACCTTGAGCGACTGGATGCACATGTGGCCGACGATTGTGCTCCTGAACGTCGGCGGATGGCGAGCCATGTGACAACGGCGGAAGGGGGCACGGGGTGCGGCAGCAGGCGGGTGGATCTCATGAGGTGGGAGAATGGAGGCTAGGGTTGGAGAAAAGTGTAGGAGTTTAGGATTTTATGCATATAACCTAAAGAGTATATTTGTCCACATAAATTATTTATTTATTACGAATTTTAATTAAGTATTATGAATTTTAATATTATTTTGGTAAAAAAAAAACTAGTTAGGTCATAGATTGAGAAAATGAATAAGTTTTAGTCATACCTTGGGTAATTATCTCTTTCTAAATATGGGGCATCGTTATTTTTTATTGAATAGTTTGACATGTTTATATTTCGATTATTACCTATCACTTGACGTGATAATCTTTTTATAGATTTAATTCAGTTGACCTTCTCGGTAAAAATTGCCTACTAAAAGTCTAAAGCATGCAACCTCTATTCGTTCAATAACACTTATTTTAAATCAATCTAATGAAAAATAAATGGAGCACAACCAATCACGTTATGCAGTCCGACTGTTGTCAACGCCATCACTTTCATTAAAATCAGAATGTCACAAAATTATACATAGTATATTTTGAACTATTATCTTAAAGAAGAAGAAGATAGAAGAACTAATTTACTCAATTTTAAATCCTATAAGGGCTAATATCTTCAAAAAAGATGACCACACCAATTATTAAATAAATGAATTACAAAAAGGTGTAGTTATTAGTTTTGAAAATACAGTAAACTACGGATGAAATCTAATGGATAAGAGACAACTTCTTTTAGGTATTGAGCAATTTTTTTTGTTTAGGTAATGATGGTTGAATAGTCGAATTTAATTTGGATGCGACTGAGTGTTATAAAAAATCTGACTCTTCTAATTGGAAAATATAGACTATATTTAGTTAAAAAAAAATTAAGACACACAATAAATAAGAATATGCATTATCAACAAATGGTATAATCGACTTAATAAATGACTTTCTGTTATATAACTCATACATATGTCAGTGCGCGCACACATATAGTAAAACTAAAATTAAATCATTTTTGTCTCGTGCAAGACATGGTAAATATGCTATTATTAATGCATAATTGTTATAAATATGTGTGGTATTTATTTCTACTTGTGCATAATTTTGTGAAGTCATTTTGGACTTCGATAATGATGACAACACATTGTAATCGCCATCATTATCCCCTTTATCGATTTGAATTTACTTTCAAATTTTCCAAGTCATGCATATGAATATTTTAACAAATTAATTGTGTCAATGTAGAAAATATTTCAATGTTTTCGTATAAAATATAACACTCCACATTAAATCAACAAATAATGACAAATGTATGATTGAAATAAAAGTAGAGAACAAAAATATGACTTGGTGATTAACATAGTAACTTCAGTGATCACGATTGTGACTATGCACAATAACTAGTACTCCCTCCGTCCCATTAGAAGGTTCCCACTTTCTTTTTTTGGACGTTCCATTAGAAAGTTCTCATTTCTATTTTAGGAAACAATTATCAATCTTAATAACAAAGTAATCATTAAATATTAAAAATAATACATTTATAACATCACAGTTATCAATACTAACTACATTATAATATATATCTATTAAAATTATTTCTCAAAATATACTCGAAATATTTTATTTAATTATTGCATAAATAACCGTGTCGTTTTGCTATAAGAATCTTCCAATGGTATAGAGGTAGTAATATTTTTGTCCATCAATTATATTTTAGTAATATTTTTGAAAAAAACCTCTTAAATCAACGAGAGCTCACAAAACTAGAATTGTATATATACACAAGTCATTTGAATTTGAAGTATGAAGTATGAAGCTAGGATAAAGCTATAGTGGAACTAGTCTAAGCCATTGATCTCCCTTTATGAAGTTTGTGTCAATGTATTGTCTAGCTTCTTCATCGCTCAAGTTCTTTGACCATGGTACCCTCCTCTCTCTACTTGCTCCGGGACCTCTATTCTGGTATTCTGCAAAGATGGAATTCCTGAAAATGATGAAAGCAGAGAATCAATGATTTTATCTGTTCAATACTGTTGTGTGATTATCAAACGTGACAAATTATTATGAAAACCCTAAAACCGAAAGTAGAAATTGCTTTCTTAAACCAATGTTATTTCTTTGATTTGATCATACTTTTGCCGAGACAGGATGTTCCAGTCGCTCCATCCAGAAGGAAGTATGACGTCACTGATATCACACTTGGCGAAGACCACTCGAGAGAACTCTCCCCAGGCTCTTCCCAGAAGGGTCTTTCCCAGGCCAGTTATTCTGCAGTCCACAAATGAGTAGCCTGTGTTTTCGCTTGGTGAGTTCCTGTGCTGTGCTGCAATAGCTCCAGGCCCTACTGAATTAATAACACACCCCTGTTTTAAAAGTATTACATAAGATTTCTCTTTATCATACTGTTTTTAGCACTGTAGATACTAAATTGGGTCTAAATCCTGCAAAAAGCATGTTTAGGAGAGGTGGGTTTTGCCACATTTATATACTATACTGGAGTAGATGTCAACGTTTTGAGATAGTCCACAGAAACATATGATTTTGATTCTGGAAAAAAGGTTGAAGAAATCATTTACAATCAAACCTGATAAAGTGATCTGGCATTTCCACAGATGAAATCGACCATCCCTTGAATGTAACATTGGTAAAAATAGTGCACCCCGATGTCATCGAGGAGTGTATCTTGTGACCCCAAGAACCTGCATTTGTAGAACACTGCCCTGTCCCCGTTTATGTTCACCGCCACAGCCTGCATTCCTTCACCTCCAGGCCTTGCCACCACTGTGTTCTGAAACATTAACCGCCATTATTATATTTATATTAAAAAAACATTTGGAAAGTTACATTGGATCATTTTTTGTCATAGTGACTAAAGGTTTGATCATCATTACCTCAACAGTGATTCCAGTGGCACAGAAATAGTCAGCAAATACTTGGAGGGTGGCTGTCCTTGTAGTCCCTAAAACCCCATCTGCGGCTCTGTCGGAGGCCTTGTCGTGCCATGATATGACGGTTTTGGAAGGCATATCTTCGTCTCCGATCAATGATATGTATGGCTTTGATGCAGGAATGTGAACCTTTTCTCTGCATTTTCATGTTTTTTATTTTAAAGAATAAAAAATAATAAGGAAATAGGATGTGGGAGTTTAAAGAGTTATTAACCACCCACGTTCTTCTTCTTCTTTTGTTTTAGTATTGGATATTAAAGCCAATAAAAGAGACAGATTTGAAGATTTAAAGGCCCCGGGTGTTTGGTTGCACTGATCTGCTTATTCTACTTTTTCATAGAATAATACGGAATATAAATGTACAATGCCCAGTCTTTTAACATCCTTTTATTTTACTTATCAGTCTTGTTTTGTACCAAAGACTGATTCTTTGACTTCATGCACAAATATTGAAAAAAGAAAACGGTGAAAGTAGATTGACCAAAGAAGACCATTTTAGTTTTTCTCTATCCAATTTGTTCTTTCCTTGTAATGATAAATATATTTTGTATTTTAAACCAATCCAGCTATTCAGTATAAGTATAGCAATTTAAACAGATATAACGATTTATATAGTGGTTTTGCTAAAGGTGAAATTGTCCTGACCATAGCTGATGTAAGTGTAATTGTGTTTTCTGTCAACAAGCAAGTAAAAAACACTCCCAAATTTGATTATCACTACTTCACGCACCCAATGTTTTTAATTGGATTGATTAAGTTCTATACTAGACTTGAAACAATTAAATCAGACCGGAATAGATTTCAACAAATTCTAGTCCAATTAAAAACATCCCTAAGTGCTTATTCTAGACCATAAATGTAGTCTTTTCCCATTCTTGCTATATGCAGTTACTGCTAATGATTTTATTTAATTAATAGAAAAATATATTTACCTGTAAATGCCGGGAAGAATTAAAATTTTGACCCTTTCGTAGTTATATGGAGGCACCAAATCAACAGCACCTTGAATCGTCCGAACGTCCCCTTTCCCATTCTGATCAACCACTATGATTTTGCTCCCATTATTTCTCCCACCATTTTCTCTCAAAATCCCACCATCACTTGCCCTCAGATCATTCCAGGTGATGAATATCTTCCTCTCCACTTTCCCGGAATCCCAACGCCTCCCCTCTCCCAACCCCACCAAGAATGCCACAAACATCACCCCTAAGCAGCAACTCATTTATTCCCGGAAAACGAAGAACAGAGGAAGAAGAATTGAACAAAACAGTGATGAAGGCTGTATAAATGGGAATGGAAAGGGTTGCATGTTGTGAGAGGTAGTACTATTATTACACAGTGTAACTGCTAAATGCAGGATCTTTTTAAGGTTTCATTTTTTTTCCTTTTCTTTTATTCACATATATATTTCATAGGACAAAAAAAGATGAGGAGATGAGAGGATGTATGAGTTGGATGGAGTGCATGGTTGCATTAAGTAAAGTAAAGGAATTATGGGATTTTAATAAAGGTGGAGATTCTTGGAATGAGGGAGGTTTTGTTGAAGAGTAGTTATGAAACTCCAAGAGGTTTCATTTCCTTCAATTCCCTCCTCACCCCCTCTCTTTCTCTGACTCTCAAATGGAATGGAATATATATTTAAAAACGTCTAAAGCTCAAAAGGGACTCTTTTTTAACTCTTTTTAATTTATACTAGTGCCGATTATTACTGTATACAACTCCAGTAACGGTGTCTGGATTTACGTGGCAGGAGTTTAGGGTCACGTGATTAGTGATAACCGGCGCCATTTCACATATTGTTATTATAAATAACAACAATAATAATAAATCTTCAAAAACAGCATAATAATAATATTGTTACAGTATTATTTGTATACATTATGATTAAGACATACGGAGTATTAATGGCATTTTCAATTCTGTTCTCAAACGAATAGTGTATATGTCATCATTGAAGGCTTTAATAAACTTTAGTGATTATAGTAATATTGGATTCATTTGACAAGAAAGAAGTATGAGCTGTAGTAATTATAGTAATGTTGGATTTACTTGACAAGAAAGAAGTGTAATGTATACCCCGTAATATATGCATATTCTCCGTATCATTTTTTGGTAACAAATAAGGCCTACAAAAACTTTGAATAAATAATACATGGAAAAATAACTACAATAGATACTGATGGGAAGATTACTTTATAAAAAACTAGATTCCTTATAAGAATGACTTTAAACATTCACATTCAAGCCTATATTGGGATTGAATCTGGGGTGGAGATAGGAGGAGGTTGGTGTGGTCTCTCCAAGATTTTTGTGTGTGATGTATATATATATATATATATATATATATATATATATATACATATTTATATATTGTAAAAATTATAGTAAAATTTTAAATTTTGGCCCTCCAATATGATTTTCTTAAGCGCAGACTCTCCTACCCTGCTATTTTTGCCTCCGTCACTGGATTGAAGGCTTCTCAAAAAGGAAATACGGAATATGTAGTTTTGAACGGCACTTATTATGCTTTTGAGAGCTTAATTAATTACCGATAAGAAATATAAACTGAGTTTTTTTTTTACTAAAATATGATAAAATTCAAGTCAATTTTTTAAAAAACGATAACTTTTATATATGGACAAAAATGTCACTGTCATATTCATGTCACTTATAGTCTTACAGATGTAAATGTCTTGTGAAACATATCAATGTGATTGCCATGAATTTTTAAGGTGACTTTTTTCCGACGATTATTAAAAAAACTAAAAAATTAAGAACAAAAAATCATCAAAAAATCTAGCAACTTTTCGGGCGGCAGATCGAGCCCTTGATGGGGCAAGTGTGGGGAGAGGGGTTAGGGTAAAGATTGATATAAATTACAATGAAAAAGATGAATTAATTAAGTAAAAGTTTAGTCATGTTTTTGGAAAAAGGAAAAAATATCACTTGTTATATTTAAAAAAGCTATAGGTAATATTTTTGTCCTTATTCCAAATGCATATATTAGGTCCCAACTATACGTGCTTCAATTTTGATTTTGAAAATGCTAAAAATCATGATTTGGTTTGATTTTGAATTTTCTCATCTCCATCAGTTCAAGTCATGAATGGCGGCATGGATGGATTTAGAGGGTTGGGGGTGGGGGTGGTGGAGCCCCTTTTTTGCCTTCAAAATTTTCTATTATATACTTGTATGTGATATTTTCATAGAATTTTTCTACTCTAATTAGATAATATACATGTTTCCCTCCCTTAACTTTTAGTTTTCAAAACTAATATATAGTCTTACATAATATAATACGAAGTATTTAATATGAGACGTAAAACGAGAAAATCTAAAGTTATATAATAATATAAGTATATAACAACTCAATGATTTTAAAGGTATGTTTGACACAACTAGCTGAAAGAATACTTTTGTGAACTTTTTAGTAACTGTTAGCTTTCAGTGATCGAAAAGATCTTAAAAAAGAAAAGACGATGACTGTTTGGTAAAAAGCTGACTGTTTGATTGATTTAGTCATGTTAGGTATACAAGCTGTTTGGATTAATTGTTGTTAAAAGTAACAAACTGTACTCAGATGCTACTCCCTGTAGCATCTCAAAAAGATCTTTTATTATTTGAAAAGCTCTTAAATATTGTCATGTCAAACATACAACTAGAAACTTTTAGAGATTTTTTATATAGCAGAAAAACTAGAAGACAGAGACTTTTGCCTTCCAAATATAGCCTAAGAGTTAGAATACTTATTCTATAAAAATCCTACTTTTATAATGTTAAGTTTATACTCCCTCCGTCCCACTATGTTTGGAACAATTCGATTTACGATGTTTGACCGACGATAAAGCAAACAAGCCCCTGTCCGCACTCAAATTTTTTTTAGAAGAAAACAATTACATATTCAGAAACTATATTAAAAGCTTTACAAAGTCGCAAAAATCAGAATCAAATTTGAAAAAAAAATGATATATAAAGTAAGAGATTAAGAGTAATTTGTGTTGACCAAGTGAATAGAGTGTGAGACAATCTTAGTGAGACGGAGGGAGTATGTATTAGGTAATTAGTATTTGATTTTAAAAATATCAAACGATATTCATTAAATATCAGACAAACTAGTTAAACAGTTTTTATGGTGTGAAGTGAGTCTAAAATATTAATTTTTATGTGACATTGAGATTGCACAATTGTTTTACCTCTTACTTAAAAAAACTTTTACACAAATAATAAACTCTAACTTATTCTAGCATTCATAAAAATATAATATGCACAATCAATCTATATGAATTAGCAACACTCTAAAAGTAAATAATCTCATAATAATAAGAAAACTCCTAGTGACTTACGAACAACTTTGGACCTTGGTAGATAAAAAGTGTAACTAAAAAATTAATTCTTTATTTCAATAAGATTTATGCAGCTATATAAAACACAAGTTATTCAAAAAGATTTGGTAATTGTGTATATTTTAGACTCTTTATCTTGAAATAGTTAGATAAAATATTACCCTTTTTAGTATCACATATATTTCCTTGATTTGTCATTTTTAAGCTTTAATTTACAAATACTTTTTAAAAATTTGTCTAACTAGGAGTAAAAAAGTTTCAGAAGTTCAAAATATGATTATCATTCTTTCATTCCCGGAATAAGAGTGATTACTACCGTTTGACGCATGGGAATATTTTCAAAGTTCGAGACTAATTATTTCTGTCTAGGGAATAACAATTTGACAATTCTATTGTGGAGTTACAAAACGTTTGATCTACTCCTACTTCAAGAATGTTTATATACTTTTTTTAGAACAGTTCAATTATATTTTTTTTTTCTGATCATGTAAACTTAGAGTGTAGTGGATTTAAATGTCATGTGTATACTAATGGATTTTTTTAATAAGATATAGACACAACCCTACACTAGTGAAAAGTTTTGCCCAACTATCCGAACTTGGCCTCATATAAATAGTTTTTGCCCGACTGTCCTTCAAATTTTGTTAAGGACACATGTACCTCACGGCTTACTAAGTGGTGCTTATTATGACTCGCGTTAATAAACGACGCATAAAATAAGCAGTGTTGTAAGATCATGTTTACTTCAAAGAATAAAACATCATTTAACATTAAAATGTTCAAAATAACCTTATACATGTATAGACATACAAACATTCATGAACATAAGTATATAATGTAACACATGAGGGGTCACCTCGTACGCCTACCCCTACCCCTACCCCTACCCTTTGACCTCTACCCCTACCATGACCTTACCCTCTACCCCTACTCCCTTACAACCATGCATCCATACCCCTAACCCCTACCCTACTCGTATCCCCGACCCCTGTACCCTTACCCTTACTCCTACTCCCCTATAGAGCCCTCAAAATCGGCCAAAACCCGCGACCAGGTCCATTTAAACCCATTTATTGGTGGGTAGAGTTGTGAATTTTTGACTCATTTATTTCGCGGGTTTCACGGGTTGCGGGTTTAAGTTGGTTGGCCCAACGGATTGAGGGTTGGCCCACGGGCCAATATACAAACATATATTTTTTACTTTTATTATCTTCAATATTGTTTTCTACTACCAAAATTATTATAATTACAATTAAAAAAGTTACAACCATTGCAAAATAGTTATTATTTCTATAATAAATATTCAAATAAAATGTTGAAGAATATAATTTATGTGAAGTTTGATACAATATTTAGCAATTAATTAATAGTCATGATTAATTTACAAATAGTCAATCAAAAGTTTTAAATAGATCTTTACTCTTATAGCTTTCAAATTCTTGAATAACTAGTATTTAATACGGAGTATTTTTTAATTCAACTTAACAAGTATTAGGTTTTTAGTATTTGATTTTTTATATTTCCCTTATTACTACTTACTGATACACACACTAGAGATGGTTCGCGCTATGCGCGAAATTTCATGCCCAACATAGTAATAATATCATAGTTATTATTTAACATTATGATTTTTGGAAAAGTGTTTTTATGATTATAGATATCTGATCTTAAACTAAGTATTATTTTCTTTTACAAAAATTAATATTGTCAATATTACTTAGCTATTTGTTTTAAGTTCATCGCCTTTTCTTATTCTTTGTCGGTCAATATATAAATTTATGAAAACAATTTTTTTTTTTCTAATTTACCATTTCATATTATAAAGAGAAATATTAATAAATTGGGAACCTTTCAAGTGGATATTTTTGAAAGTATTACTACATATTTTTATCAATCAGTCAATCTTTTAATTCCATGTTGTTATGTAGATAGATTGTCTGATTTGAACAACGTATATAAATTAAATACGTAGTACTATCGTATATAGGAATGTGAAATTTGCAAACAGCATAAGTTGAATAATACGAGTATCAATGAAGTCTATTGATACAAAACAAAAGGCATACGATTACAATGTTGATTCATCTTGCTAACGTTAAAACATTAATGCCGTAATGTCATTTTTGTCCGTCTGAAAAATAAGGTACAACAGTGTGAATGTAATGTATACCAGCACATGCACATAAATATTGACACAATTTATGGGTACAAACTATCATTCACAATTATAAGTTTTTAGGATATATATATAGTCTCGTTCCTATCAGGAGCTCCTGAAGAGAAGCCCCGTGCGGACAAGCCCATCAGAGGGTCTTCCCGGTGGAATTTTTTGATGAATTTTTTTGAACATATTCCTCATCAAGTCTAGTTTGTAAATACCAAATTTCAGCTCAAAATTCGATCAGGAAGGCAGTCAAATAAATTCTGGAAACATACTGCACTTTATATTTGCGCAGAATGAGCCATTGTTTTCCAGTATTTATTTGACTGCCTTCCCGATCGAATTTGGAGCTGAAATTTGGTATGGACAAACTAGACTTGGTGAAGAACATGCTCAAAAAATTTCATCAAAACATTCCACCGGGAAGACCCTCTGATGGGCTTGTCCGCACGGGGCTTCTCTTCAGGAGCTCCTGATAGGAACGGGACTATATATATATATATATGGATGAGTTCAAATGAAAAGACATCTTAACGTGTAAAATGAGAACTAATCTCAGTCGTCCAAAGTGTCGATCTCATGCACTTTCGAATAGACCTTATTTGATGCACTTTTCGAAAAGTGCATCAAATAAGTTCTATTTGAAAGTGCATCAGATAGGGGTTATTGTGTATCAGATAGGGGTTTATGTGTGTCTATATATATAGACACACATAGAGGAAGCGGTCTAGCTCAGCTGGTCACCGACTCACTCTTTCTTATGGGAGGTCTCGGGTTCAAACTCAATGGAGTGAGTTTCAACCCAGTTTACTCCAGGCCCCCTAGACCCTCTCCCCCAGACGCCCCCTGGAGTAAAAAAAAAAGACACACACACACACACTCCAGAGTAATTATATTTAAAGAATCTTTTGTCACATATTTTTCTACATTGACCCACGGGCCAACCCGTTTAACCCACGGGTTAGGTGGGTTGGGTTAGGATTGTAGAAATTCTGGCCCGTCATTAAATGGGTTGGTCCGACCCAACCCACACAAAGCATTACTCGTTACAGGTAGGGTCGGGTGGCCCGTTTGACAGGTTTACTCCCCTACAACCCGCCATACCCATAACCCATACCTCTAACCCCTACCTCGTAGCTGTAACCCCTAACCCTTACCTTGACCAGCAGGCTCGTACCCCTACCCCCATAACCCTACCCTAGGGTACAAGTTCTAGTAGGGTAAGGGTATAGGGGGTATGGTTGGGGGTAGGGTAGGGGTTGGGGCCGGGGTGGGGTCGAAGTAGGGGCAAGTGGTGGTGGGGGGTAAAGGGGTAGGGTCAGGATAGGGTAAGGGTACCACCCAGTGGGGGTGGGGTAAGGGGTATTGTCTGAGGTAGGGTGGTAAGGGCCATGGGATAGGGGTGGGGTAGGATGGGTTGGGTGGGGTTAGGGTATGGTAAGGTAGGGTAAGAGTAGGGGACAGGGTGGTAGAGGGGTAGGGGGTAACAATAGGGGTAAGGGCGGCGAGGGGTAAGAGTAAGGGTAAATTCGGAAACTGGAAAAGCTTAATGTGCCGCTTAATTAATACATGAGGGGCGGCACACTTAGTAAGCGGCAATTTAAGCACTTCTTTCGGTTAATAAGCATCTTTTTAAGCAGCTTACGCATTTGCTTAACCTGTCTTGATAACCTAACTGTGACTTTAGAAGCGAAGTATTAAGTAAATGATTGTTCCTTATATATCTTGATTGGAATTGTAGTGGCGATCTCAACAAAGTCCATGTCTCCATGAGCATGGACCAACAAATGGAAAGTACTACAAAGTCCTTGAAGTATAAAGCTACAATAAGATGCAACACCGTGTGAAATCAAAAGAACTAAGTTAATATTAAAAGATAGCAAAGATACAAGAGAATGAATAGTCTAAGGATGCAATGAAATTAGACATAAAACAGAAAAGATTCAAAGAGCCTTGCTACTCTTCTTGCTAATCCCGTAATGATGTAGTCTATCTAGCTAGTCTAAGAGCCTTGTTGCTCTTCTTGCTACTCCAAAGAGAAAATAAAAAATTACAAGTAATAGACCCGACTTCATTAGGCACTAGAAAAGGAGAATTGATGTGACCATCAATCAACAAAGGAAATTCAATTGAGAAGAAATTGTATCATCAATTTAACCAACCACCGAAAAGGGGATTCATTTGAGCGTCATCTTTTTCTGCATTTGAGACCCATGTCAATTTCTTCGTTTGACAAAAAATTGACATGTACCAACAAATGAAAAGTCATTCTCTTGTATCTTTTTTATTAATATAATTGAAACACTTTTAATTTGGTATTTTAAATTATTGAATTAATCCCATAAACTTACATTTTTGAGAAAAATAATAGGAGTACATGATAATAGTGCGAAAATAAATTTACATAAAATTTGAGATATTTAAATTACATATGTAAAATTTGGGATATTTACCTTATGTTCCTTGAAAGTTTGAGATATTTTTATTATTTTTCTCTTAAATACTACTCTCTCCGGTTTTTAATAAATTTCACACTTTCCTTTTTGGGACGGTCTAAAATAAACTTCACACTTCCTTATTTCCTTTTTTGGCAAAGAAATCTACATCAAAACAGTGCCAAACAGTGCCAAACAGTGTCTCTACAGTGCCAAACAGTGTCAAATAGTGTCTCAACAATATACTCTACAGTAAAGTTAAATTTCTTTCCTTATTTTGTGTGAAGTCAAAGTGTGAAAATTAAATGAAACCGGAGGGAGTAATATTTTTATTTATCATTAGGCCTTGTTTGTTTCCGGAAGTTGGAAACGAGATCCAGATGCCGGGAAAAGGGAATCTTCCGTCGCCTTCATCGCCACCGTTGGCAACGGCTGACTCACAATTCTTCGGTCTGTTGACCGATCTTCTTCAGGAGGTATACTCATCGATAACATGCATATATGTTGCTGAAATTTTACATATCTCCTCCTTCGATTATCATCTTTAACTTGTAAACCGTGAAAGCGATTGAGATCAGATGATTCAGATCCTCTCATATGCCACCCTGAAGTTCAGTTTGATTGATAGACGCTACGATTTATTTGTAGTTCCATACTTCTATACTGGAGTAATTGATAAAACTGCTCCTGTTTGAGCTTTGATGCGTGACACGAGTGGATTCGTGCTTAAATCTTACCACTCTCTTTGAATAGCATCAAACGTGATTGTTTCTCTCCGGGGTAGCTGAAGTAGTCAGGAAGGGGAGCGGATCTGTAAACGTCATGAGTTTACTCTGAGGCAGGCTATGTTGCACGGAAACGGGAAACGGGAATGTCCCTTGAAACAGGGTGGAGCCAAGACACTGGGCCGGTATAAAAAAATATTTTTAGAAAAAAATTTACACGAAATTTTGTATCTTAAAAATTAAGTCATTTTTAAACTTTGGGGTGGGCCAGAGCCTAGGTTGGCCCACCCCTAGCTTCGCGCATGCCTCAAAAACAGCTTGTTAGGAGAGTTTTCAAAGAGTTTCCGTAGAGTTTCCGAAATGGAAGCGCACTCCTTCCGAGAGTTTCCGTGCTACATAGGAGACATGCCATTCCTGGCTCTCATTCTTGGGGCAGGTCTAAGACTAGTCTAGCAAAGCTTGAGACAGCATTTTAAGAAAAACCCGTGATTGTTAGGGAATAAAGTAGCCAAACGTCTTGCTACCAAAAATAAGAGGTCAAATTGCAAAGCAGTTCAATTTAAGGGAAGAAGGTCTCATTTTTTTCTCCCTCAATAGGCTTTAGGAACTAGGAAAGCAGGGATAGTTAGTTTTTTGGCCTCAGAAAGGGGATTGCTTTCCCATCCATAGAACGGCCATTGCAGGTGGTTTTTAAAATACATCACAAGTCAAAGGAAGTAAGGAATCTTGTTTTACCTTCTTTGATTGCAATGGTCAATTGCCCATTTTAAACTGTTCATTTTTTAGCATATCGGCTTTCAGTGTATTAACTGAGTTGACTAATAATAACAAAGAGGGGAGAGGTTACTTCCATCAATGCCTTCAGTCCATTTAACCTTTTCAACCAATTTTAACCCCATAAAACAGGCGCTAAATGTGCATCGATCTTAATCCAGAGAATGTTATTGTAACAAACAATCTTATGCAGGTTGAGTCTCTATCTAATCAAGAGGAAGTGGAGTTACGTGCCAAGATACAATCCCTTGGTCTGGAAGTCACTAAAGTTCCTTCAAAATCAGCACATAATCTTGATGAGGTGAGCCTTAAACTCTTTACAGCTAGGTTTATCCTTGGGAACTGTTTTCTTACCTAATTCCCATATTGGAGGAATTGTATAGTATGTCAAAATATGAATTCATGGGTTCATTCAAAAGGCGGATGACGTAACCTCGAAATCCTCGAATAGCCTTTGATGCCATTTTTTCAAGCTTACCAAGTATGAGAATAATGAAAAATCCATATTGTAGTAGCTTTTTGTATACCTACCAATCATTCCATGGAGTCCGAATTTCATTCATCCCGTTCCTTTTTCAGTATCAAATGAGTATTTTATATTTAGTTTGATTTGGAGCGTTTCCTTTAACGTTTTTCTGTCAAACTGTCAAAGGACTAAAAGTGAAAATTCTATTCTGTGAATGACGCTTTCTCTACTTGTCTTTGAAATTTTGTGCTTTTAGTCCTTCAATTTTTTGTCACAGAGACACACTTGGTACTCATCTATGTAATTTCCACTTTTAGTCCTTTGACAGTTTGACTATTTTCATACTTTTGATCCTCCACCCATCCACCTATTGTAATGGAATGCAAAAACTAGTATCAAAAGTGTATCTGTCAGTTGTGTTTGTTGTCTCAATAGCAAAATGAAAAAGCGAAAAAATAAAAGTCAAATACCAAAACTGTAATTTGCACAATATTTAGAGAACTAAAGGTGATAAAAATTCAATTTTTATGTCATGAGTTGGAGAGTCTTATTACATTTCCACTTTTTAGATGGAGATTGCTAATGAGTTGGATAAGTTATCATCAAAGCTAAAGGATGTAGACGATATGGTTTCCTCAGCAATGGCGACCGATCCACAGGTCATGTCTCTCTTAAGCAGCACTTCTGATTTGTGGATGCCCGTTGTTACTGCAAGTACGACTGATCGAAAGAATTTTACAGGGACGGTTAGCGGGGAGAATCATGAAGTGGTGAGGAAACATTCCAAGTAGTTCTCTAGTGTTATTATTTTACTCATCATGTTACGTTTTGCCATTCTTAATGGAGCTTTGTAATACTTCGCATAACACTAGTGATATATAGTTATAGTAACTTTTGTAGTGGTTTTGTAAAATAAGGAGCCCTAATGCATTAAATCTTTAATTAAATAGAACTATATACTTGTACGATTGAGCAAAATAAAAGTATTGATGTTTAAGAAAGTATTAACTTTTGTTCGATAAATATCAAATTAACAAAATCTTTTTGCAACCCAGATAAAGGCTATGTTTGGTGTGACAGTTCAGCTGAAAATGAACTGATTTTTTTTATATTCATTTTATAATCATTCAAGGGTAAAGCACCAAACTAACTTAAGCTGAATTAAAACGCTATTAGATAATAAATTTTGATTCCTGATTCAAAACGCTATTGACCCTTCATCTACTGCAATCTTCTGTTCAATAATCATCTGTAAGGTATGGTTTTTTCTTCTTGGCGGCTTCTTCTTTTTGGTTCTCCTAGTTACTAGTCCGAGATCATGGCCTCTAATTGCACAATGCAATACCGCCTTATGACGCGCCTAAGCACTTTGCTGGAGTGGCCTAATATATATATATATATATATATATATATATATATATATATATATATATATATATATATATATATATATAAGGATGACACCCCATCTCTGAGGGCCCCCAACACCGACTGAACGGCATGATGGGAGCATGTAAATTGGACTATAATCACAATTTGACATATAGAAAGTGGGACTCTGTCCCTAGTACTTACAGAAGTCCTACGCATTTTTAGCATAGTAACCTCTCATCGCAGTTGCCGAGATTCGAACTCGGGACTTAACCCTTGTGGGCACTCCCTCGTTACCAGTTGAGCTACGCCCACCGGGATTTGGAGTAGCCTAATATTACATTGCTTATGACAGAGGTGATCATGGGACTCATGGCCAGGGGCGGAGCTAGAGGAGGCTAACCTAGGCTTGATCCATCCCAAATTTTATAAATTCCCGTAGTTTTTTAAGTTAAAAGATTTTAAGTAAAAAAATCCAAAATTATTCTTTGTATTGGTCCAATCCGTCCAATGTCCTGGCTCCGTCTATGATCATGACGTGTGCATTATTACGTAGAAGCGTGTGCAATTTGACCTACACCCTGAGACAGTCCGAGGCGTACGATATGTGTTGAGGTCTGTATTTAGGCATACACGATATGCGTGGCAGCTATTAGCATTCTTCCAACTTTATCTTCACCGTTTTAAATCTAGCTTCTCTACTCTTCCTATGTCTTCCTAATGTAGCCTTCTAGTGTGGTTTTAGGTAAATTATACCGTACACCAGGTTGTACGGTTTTCACTGTACAACCGGATATTTTTGCAATTAAGTCAATCGCCTTCCTCACCTAATCATCCCAGTTGTTATATCTTCTTCCGCCATCATCCTCACTCCAGTTGCTATTCTTTACTTTTTCCGGCGCAAATCATCCACTTTCGTTTCCTGCTAATCGTTTTACTCTTTATTAGTGGGTTGATTTTGTTTTGTTTTGTCTTTTTTCTTTTTTGTTCTTTTCGTTTCTTTTCTTCTTCTCATTTTACTTCTTTCTTTTTCTTTATATGGAGTATATTATACTAAGCACATTAGAAATGAGCTATATCTTAAACTCAAATGAGTAAACGCCTAAAAATGAACATACACAAATGAGTTTTTGAATTTTTGGATATTCATTTTATAAATTATGTATGTTCATTTAGTAACTCCGTTATGCACATTTTTAAAATGTTTTTACACATGTATATTTCAAAAGTCTCTAATACATTAAATTTATATAGGAGTTAATTATAGACACGAGATCACAAATCATGATACTCAATCGCAAATTGTAATACCCAATAACGGAGGTTTGATGCTCACTGAAAATGTATTGATGCTCAACGAACAAAATTTACAATTTTCATATCAATGCTCATCTTGTAAGTTACATATGCTCATTTGTATAGGTCTGATGCTCATTAAATATATTTAAATGAGCATACTAGAAAATTTAAATGAGCTTTTGAATTTTTCAATGCTCATTTTATAATATATGTATACTCATTCAGGAATAGTCTTATGCCCATTTTAAAATGTCATATCAATACTTATGAAACTAATTCTCAACAGAATAGCTATCATGCTCATTAAAAGTACATTAATGCTCATTTAACAGAAACCATTATTTTCATCTCAATAGAGGAGGTTTGATGCACAATGAAAATATCGTGATGTTCAACTAACAAACCAACTAAAAAATTCATTAATGTTCATTTTGTAAGTTACATATGCTCATCTGGTAATTATCTTATGCTCATATATATTGGACTCTTAATATTCAACATAATAGGTCTGATGCTCATTACAAGTTCATTAATGCTCATTCACAAGAAATTGTGTTTTTCATCTCAATAGCGGATGTTTAACATTCAATAAAATATTGTGATGTTCAACAACAAAAACTTTACGCCCAAAATCAATGAGCATACACATATGAGCTTTTGAATTTTTTGATACTCATTTTGTAAATTATGTATACTCGTTTGGTACTGCTTTATGCTCATTTTAAAATGATGCACTCATGCACATATCAAATATAATGCCCAAAAGCAATGAACATGCACAAATGGAGTTTTGAATTTTTTGATACTCATTTTGTATATTATGTTTGCTATTTGGTACTGGTTTATGCTCATTTTAAAGTGATGCACATATCTAACATATCATACTACATTAGATTGACACATTGAAATTAATTATAAACACAATTTAAGAATTTTTTATAAACGAAAAATTAATAAAAATAAACTGAATTAGAAGATATGAAGCAAAGATGAATGAGTTTTTTGAATTTTTCGATGCTCACTTCGTAAGTTATGTATGTTCATTTAGTATTTCTGTTATGCTCATTTTTAAAATGTTTTAACAATGCATATTTCAAAAGTCTCATATTACATTATATTTATATATGAGTTGCTTATAAACACAAGACCACAAATCTTGGTACTCAATAGCAGATTCTAATACTCAATAATGGGGGTTTGATGTTCACTCAAAATGTCTTGATGCTCAACGAACAAAACTTACCATTTCCATATCAATGCTCATCATATAAGTTACATATGCTCATTTGTATATGTATGATGCTCATTAAAAATGCATTAATGCTCATATAACAGAAATCCCGATTTTCATCGATCTCAATAGAGGATGTTTGATACTCAATGAAACTATTGTGATGTTCAACTAACAAAGCAATTAACAAATTCATTAATGCTCATTAGTAAGTTATATAGCCTCCTAATACTCAATAAAATAGGTCATATACTCACTGTAAGTACAATATTGCTCATTAGCGGAAACCGTGACTTTTCACTTAAATTACAAAAATGCCACACAATTGGACTCTCTCTTTTCTTATGGGCTTTTTCTTATGCAGGATAATCTTGAGATCGAGGAGAAGCTAAGCCTTTAACTCATGCCAGAAGCTTCACCAGAAGGCTGTTGGTTTGGCATATATCTGAGGAAAAGAAACTCTATCCAATATGATACCAGTGATCACCACACATTAATTCCATCGGAGGTTGGTGTCGATTTCATGAGTTTACTGTGAGGAGCTTTAATTTTCCTGATTTTGAACATATCAAATGACCGATTGCTACTAGAAATCAGTTTTGCCAGAATTGGGGCAGTACTAGAGAAGATGATGGTGCCGCGTTCGCAGGTGTGATGAAGGTGACGATGATGCAGACTGGAAGCCATAGAGACGAAGGAGCAGATCATCGGCGTCACCTATCGTTGTTGTGCTCATACCTCACCCGCAAAGGGACTAATTAGCAGGAGTTTGGCGGTAGATTTAGATGAAGTTCCGGTCGCTTGCTGTGAGATAACATTGGGCCTTTTCTTATGGGCTTCATTACTTAATTGGACTCTCTCTTTAATTGGACCGGATGTACCTACACCCGGGTGTATAGTATAGAAGCTCGTGGTTTTAGGCTTTTCTGGAACTATGCTTTGTTTACTTAATATCATAGACCCACATTACACATCATCAATAAATTAAATGATATTATTCCATGCCTAATCTTATTTCATACTTCATATTATATTGCTATTATATTAGTTTGCTTCAACTTTTTATACGTTCTGCACATCAGCATATTAATATTTTAATATCCCCATTAGTTAAATTTCTGCATAGTAATGTTATCTTCGTATTTAATACTATTATTGAGTGTTCTATTGAATTTAACTTCGTATTTAATATTAATATTGAGTGTTCTATTTAGTTTAATACAAAATTTAAATGTTAGTTTTCTGTAAATATTAATTTCTTCAACTTTTAATATTTTCTATATGTTAATATTTCTCTGATTTCCATCAACTAAGTTTTTGCATATTAATACGTTCTATCAGTTTTTATATTTAATGTTACTTTCAAGTTTAATATTATTATTAAACGTATTATTATTAATACGTTTTTGCATGTTACTTTCTACTCCGTATTTGTTTAATACTTCGTACTAAATTTTAAATATACAATACAACTTAAGGAGATTGGCATTTATATACAAGACAATTTAAGGAGATTGGCAATTCGGAATTCACAATCAAAGAGTCCCCCAAAAAAATATTGATCGGGAAAACACTGGCAAGATCGCACTGCCATTCGCCTCAACATTAGCATTGCCTTTAGACCATTTGCAGTAGCGTAGGAATCCAAAGTGTTAAGATGAAAACTTTACCTAGACTCCTAATTTCATGTAGTTGTAGGCTAAGTGGAATATTAAATGTGGGAAAAGGAAATGTAGGGTGTTAGAAATAGAGGGATGCTTAATACTTCGTGTGAGAAAAAGAAAAAAAGAAAAAAAAATGAGAAGGATGACAGTATTCCTACCTTCACGGAGTTGCTCAGCGGCTGAGAAAGGAGATGATGATAATGAAGGCAGCGGATTCGTGTGGTGAGAGGAGAAGCCTGGATAGCAGGTGGTGTAAGTTCTGCTGGATTTGTTCTTTGGAGCCAGTACCAATGAGGCTGACTGTTATCAGATTCAGATTTAACTGTCTAGCGGTTTCGAAGGGTAGTTCATAGACTCCAGAATTATGGGAGCGTAAGCCCCGACACCTGGATCATCAAAAAAATGAGAAGGAGAAAGCAATGACTCGTGAAAAG